ATCTTTTCTGCCAGGCTTAGGAGGGCCAGAGGACTGAAAGGGTTGGAGAGTCTTGGCCTCTGAAAAGGAGAAGAAATGACAGTGATGGAAGATGGGGCCACATACTCAAGGGGCAACATCCCACCAGGGACTGGAAGAAGATGTCAGCCTAATAGGCAGTGAAAAATGGCTGGCTCCTAGGAAAGCTTGAGTTAAACCTTGAGAAGAAAGAGCCCCAGAGAAAAGCTGGTTTAAAGTTTAATTTAAGGTTAACAAAGGAATTTCTTCACAACAGTCCTGGTAGTATAATTATTATTCCTCATTTTACAGATGTGAAACTGAGGCACAGACACATTAAAGTGACTTACCAAGGTAGAAAATGTCAGGACTTAGATTTGGGCCTAGACAGCCCACCTCCAAGTCCAGTGCTTTTTCCATTCCCCAACTTGAAGGGGGTCTCCAAGCTCAAAGATGGTAGGAAGAGGCCAAAAGGCCACCAGAATGCCAATATAAGGAGTTCCCTGTCATGGAGCTATCTGTGCCTTAGTCCATACAAAATATGACTTCCTCCCATCCAGTTTCTTACTCTTTAGGGGTTTTTTTATTTTACTGATAGCAGCCTGGAAAAGGCAGCCCCTGGGTTAAATCTCTTCCCTACACATACACATACACATGCATACATACATATGTGTATATATATATATGTATGTATTTATGTGTATATGTGTGTATGTATGTATACATTCTATGTTTTAGTTTGAGGAATAGATAGAGTAGTGGTCTCGGAGCCAGGAAGACCTTAGTTCTAATCCTGCCTCAGATACTTATCAGCTGTGTGATCCTGGGCAAATCACCTTACCCTCTCTACACATCAGTGCCCTCATCTGTAAAATGTGGATAACAAACCCCACCCCCACCCCACCCAGCTCATGAGGCTGAAATGAAATAGCATATTTAATGCACTTTTCAAAACTTAAATTGTAATATAAGTGTTTGTTATTTTAATTCTCAAGTTAAAAGGTTCCCAGTCCTCAAAATGTATCAAGCCCCTCCCCCCTCCCAGAGATGGAGAGGAAGGGGGAGGGGTGGAACGAAAGAGGACAAAGCCATGCTGACTGGGTTTCACTGTAAATCTCTGCAATCTAACATAGACTGGACCTTCACTGCCACAAAGCAATCCTTTTATTCTCTTATTGACTTTCTATCACACTTCCCATATTTCTACAAAACCTCTTCCTCCTTCCTAAAGCACTTGACTATCCCCTTCGCCTCTCTCTCAGCAGATGACTTCACCTCCTGTTTTACTGAGATTGTTTTACTGTTTACTGTTTTACTGCAGCCGTCCATCCTAAGTTCCCACAGCTCATTTCTTCCACAAGTCAGAACTTCTCTGCTCTTCTCCCATCTTCTCCATTTCCCTAGGTTCTGAGGATGGAATGCCCCCCCTTCCTTGCCCAAGCTGCCTCCTTCTAATGGGCTCTTGATCCCATCTCCTCTTACCTTCTCTAAGACCTTCCCCGTTCTTATCTTCAGCGAATGATCATCTAATGGCTAGAAATAGGAGTCTACACTCACTGCCTCCATTTCCTCACCAGACACTCAGTACCCTTCACACTTCCTCAATCTGGCTTCCATCCCTACATCTCTACCACTGCTCTCTGGAAGGAAATCACCTTGACACTGGCTTCGCTTGGCTTCCATGACACTACTGTCTCACCTTGCCTCCCCAAATGATCCTTCTTACTAATTCTTCTTCATTCTCCAGCTGCCTCTGTACAGCTATGTCCCTGGGCTTTTATTCCTCTCTTTCTATTAGCAATCTATTCCCCCCTCAGGATTTCAATTATCACCTTCATCCATATAACTCCAGAATCTAGATCTCCCCCCTCCATCTTGTCCCTGAGCAAGACTGTCCTATGTTTCTAACTACCTGTTAGACACATACAGCATCCTATCAACATCCCTCAAACTCAATATGTCCCAAAGCGAATTCACTATCTTCATTCCAAAACTTGTCCTTCCTCCTCCTATCTTACCTATTTTTATTAATAGCACCATTTTCTCTCATTCACCCAGACTAGACATTTAAAATTTTATAAAGTACTCTTCCTTCTTTTTCACTACCAAATTCAATCAGTTCCCAAGTTCTGCTGATGTTACCTCCAAAACATTTCTCCCATTGCTTATCTTGCAAGCTCATTGAGAGTAGGGGTTGGTTCCCTTTTTGTCTGCCATACCTTTCACCTAAGTAGAAATGATCCCCTTGTCCATGAATTCCCTAGACCACTATATTTCATCTTTTTATGCATTAGTCATTTTCGAACATATTACAGTTATCTGTATATACATCCCAACTCTGAGGCTTGCCATCTTCGTGACCTTGGAAAAGTCACTTAATTTCCTTGGTCCTCAGTTTCCTCATCTGAAAAATTTGGATTAAGTGGTCTTTCAGGTCTTTCCCAGCTCTAAATATGTGATCCTGAACCCATCCCCCTAATAGATCCTTGAAGGTAGAGGCTAAATTGTTTTCCAATCTCTGTAGCTCTACCACCTAATCCAGTACCTAACACAAGGCAAACAACAAATATTTGTTGATTTGAATAAAACTGAATATAATTTAATTGTCTATCTCTGGATCCCAAGTGCTTTGAATACCTGGACTTACCCTAGCAATCTAAATTTCATCATTACAGTTAGAAATACTTGTGATTGTCCAGGATAGCTGATGGTAGAGCTGTACATATTCTGAAAATATTTTCTACTTCCATAATCAAGCCCCATTCCTAATTCCCCACAATTCCCAAAAAGGATCTTTTCCTACCTAGGGTCCAATTCCTCATTTCTTCCTAAAAATTAGATGACCTCCCCCCATGCTTAGTTTTCCCAACTATAAAATGAAGGGGGTGGTATTCTATCAGATAGTTCCTTCCGTCTTCCATCTTTGAGGTTCTATGTTCTATGACTCCCCTCTTTGGCTTCCTAAGGCATAGCCGAGGCTCCGATGTGCCAACCCTAGAAAAGTCAAGAGCCTAACATCTAATGATAGCTGCATCCTCTGTCTAGATCAGCTCCCCAAACTCAGGACAGATCTAGAATCAGACAGACCTCTAGGACTAGAAGAAGTTTGAATCTCTGGTTCAGGCAAACTGACTCTCTGGCCAGGCAACTTCCTCATCTCCAGCAAGTATCATCTGATGCTGATGGATCTTGGATTCCCCAAAACAGTATAGTCTAAATATATGTGTATCTCCCTGGAGATCTTCAAGAACAAATCCCTTGTGTTCTTGGACCAGGGAATCCTGCTTGGAATGAGTGAAATGGACCTCTTGAAGTGTCAGGGATCAATGGTGAGATCCTCTATGCTAAAGGAACAGGTGAGCTCCTGTGATAAAAAGGTGCCTATCATACAGAAGGGGAAAGTAGGGCTATGATACTTCTTGGAAGTCCTACTTTCCAAAGAATTAAATCAAGTCCCTTGACTCAATAGAGGACTAGTTCTCTGTCTGTAAGATATCTCTACCTGGTCAAAGACAGAGTGATGAGAACAATTCAGCATCCTGAGATGCCAAGCCCTAGAGACTGGGCTGAATCCATGGAGCTGAGCTGTCTTCTTGGCTTTCATATACCCCTCAGGCACAGAATCCCAACAGGAATCCCTTGTCCCCTCATCTTTCCCCAACATCCTCTATTTGCCTTGGCCACAAAAGAGAAGGGGTGTTGCCTGTTCTCTCTGCAGTTGGCACAGTGACTCAGCTTCCCCTTTAGGGAGTGGGAGTCAGGGAGAGGAATCTGTTTCTCTGCCCAGTCCACTCCTCTCTGAAATTTCCATGGCTCCTAGTCAGCTGAGGGATCTGGCCTAATGCCGAATCTTGCTTCAAGACTCCTCAGACCACCTCTGGACTTTAGATCCACCTTAAAAATAGTTACAATAAAGATCTGCAACCAGTGGGTGCCTCAGGAAGGTGTCAAGAGGAAGAAGAATCACAACGCCCTACACAAAGTTAACCATGGTCCAGAGGAAAGAGCACGGGTTTTGGAATCAGCAGGCCTTGGTGTAGATACTGCTTGTGCTACTAACTCACTGTGTGAGGTTGGGCAAATTACATCTCTCTTTGGGGTCTCAGTTTCTTCCACTGTAAAAGGAGGAGAGTTGGACTAAATGACCACCTCTCTGAGGTCCCTTCCAGAGATCTGATTCTATAAATGGTCAAGCAAGCATTCATGTGGCAATTCTTCCTTATGCTGCCTTAAATTATGGCAATTTATCTTTACCAAAAAATTTCTCCCCATGGCCCTGACATTCCACTTTTTTCCTCCTTCCTCCAGGGAAATACATCCTTCCTCTGATGGAATCTGGGAATTGGGATGATATGGGATGAATGCTGATCTAGACAATCTAGCCTGCTCTGAGTTCCAGCCTTACCCAAGAGACAGCCCAAGCTAGACAGTGTAGACCAGAGGTTTTTAACACTCATTTGTGTCATGGACCCCTTTGGCAATCTAGTAAAGCCTATGGATCCCTCCTCAGAATACCACTGGTTACCTACATTCATAACTGAAGGAAATGCTACATTTCATGAAAACAAAGATGCATTTTTTTCTCATCCAAGTTCATAGACCCCCTGAAATAATCTCTCCATAGACTGTGGAGCCCAGGTTAAGAGCCCCTAACCTAGAGGGTTAGGGGTAGAAGTTGACATTCTGAGTTGTCTTGTGAGCTTTGACAATTTCCTAGCCCTAACTCCAATTAGAAAGAAAAACCTGAACCAATCTCTTCCTTACCAGCTCCCACTTCTGTCCCAAATTGCTGAAATAAGCCTCCCAAGCCCATGAGCAGAAGTCTGGAGATGGGGAACGCTGCACTGCACCATGTAAAAGAACAGGATGCTATTTCACCACAGCCCAACCAGAATGCCTTGCAAGGGGTCACCCTTGCTCCCCTCCTCCAAGCAGGTCAACTCAAGAGGAATGAGAATAAGGGGAAAATTGATGAAGACAGTCCTGGTCCCTTAGGTTCTTACCTGCAACCCTGTGGGCCACCAATCCCTCTAGATTCAAGGGCTCTTCCTCAGGGGTCCGGGATGGATCTGAACCAGTCTCCTTTGGGGGGAGCTGAGGCTGAGTTGTGAGGCCAGGGAGAGTTGCCGGAGGTTGGCGAGGTCCTGGAGGGCTTGAGGAAGCTGGGAAAGCAGAAGAAGAGGAAGAGACTGGACTTCTGGACTGATAACTCTGGCTGGGTGCAGCTGAAGATATCTGGTAATCATAGGGAGAGTAAGGTCTCCCAGGTGAGACAGACTCCAGGGAGGTGCGGGCAGCTGGTTCAGATGTTCCCTGGAGATGTCCCCTCGGGATGTAGCCAGATCTTGACTGGGCCAGAGGCTGGGACTGAAGGGAGAGACCAGGAGGAGGCTGGGAGGCAAGGGGAGAAGCCCCTGGCCAGGCTCCAGGGACACTCTGTGACTTGTGCAAGGGGGAGGTGGATGAGGCAGGGTCCAGGTCAAGCATTAGCATATTGAGTGCTTCGATAGACTGCTCAATCTCCTTCTGGGAGGCTGCCCTGGGGAACTCAGGGAGGCCAGAGGCTGAAGCCTCCACCTGAGGCTGGGGGCTGGGCCTGCTGGGTATGTGACTCTCTAGGCGGGCTCTCTCCTGCTGGCGTGGAGGTGGGCGAGGCTGCTGCTGCTGCTGCTGCTGCTGCTGCCAGGAATTCAGTCCCCGTTGTACCGCATCTCGACTGCTCCCACTACGGGCTGGGGCTTGGGGCAGTTGAGGCTCAGTTTCTGCAAATGACTGAGAGCGGAACATCATCCCATTGGCATCACAACCATAGTGAGGATTGCTCATCGACTGCTGCCATCCCAGGTGTGGGCCTTCTCGTTGGTACCCAGAGAGGCCCTCTTGGGCTGAGAACGAGGGTCGCATGGGGGCCCCATGGACCGTCTGAGTGAGGGGAGCCCGGGCATGGGTTTCATAGAGATAGCTGCTGCCATTAACCATCGGCTCTGCTGGGTATGGCTTGTCCAGGCCATTGGTCAGTGGAGACATAGCCTCGGGGTAGCCCCCCTCGCTGGTGTTGGTGACCCCATCCAGGGAGGACAGAGTGCCCAGGCTGCCTACACTGTGCCCATCCTGGTTGGGCAGTTCATCATCCAGAATGTCTGTCTCCCGCTCAGATGTCAGGGTCCCACCATTGACATGGACCTGGGCGGGGACAACATGGCGTCCAGAAGAGGGGGCAGCAGGTCCCCCATGCTGGCGGGACATATGGTGTCGAGTGTGGTACATGGGCTCGTGCTTCTCCCGCTCCAAGCCAAAACCGCTCAGCAGCCTTTCCAGCTCACGCTTCTCCTCAGGGCTCAGGGATACAGGAGCATTAGAAGGACCACCTGGCTCATCAGTCTTGTCAGTCTTGGTGGAGGCAGTGGAATTCCCTGAATCGCTACTCACTGACAGGGTGTGCTCCACGTGGTTGGGGGTGGCTGAGAGAGTGGGGCGGATAGCGTTGACCGCACCTGTGCTGCCGTGCAGAGAATCCTTCTTCTTCACTTTGGCGTAGAGACTCCCATCCAGTGGACCTTGGGTGTGTCCCACCACCTCTGTGTAGAAACAAGGAGAAGAGAGATAGAGCAGATCAATGAGTGTGTGTGTGTGAGTGTGTGTATGTGTGTGTGTTTTCTATTTCATCACCCCTTAGGAGAACGGAGCTAAGAGCTCTCTCATTAGCTAACTCATATCATGGCTGTGAAACCTTTCAACTTACTGCCATGAGATGGAGTTGGAGGTGGAGATAGTGGGGAGGAGAAGGGGAGAAGTGGCATCTCCCAAGCCTTCTTCAAAAACTCCTGACATCAAAGCAGCCTCAAGCAGAGCTCAAGTAATCAATCAGCTGTCTAAATGGGCAATTCCAAGCACGCAGATTCCTTCTGCCCTTCTCCTAGTTACTCCCTGAACACCTGCTACCTGAAATGCCTTTGCCTGGCAACAGAGGCTTTTATTTCACAGTTAGAAATAAGGCTTGAAATGCAAAAATACAAAGAGGAGGTTATATAGTAAACTTAAATTCACACTAAGAGACAAGCAACTGATATAAGAACCTTTCATTGAAAGTACATTTTATGTGCACATGTGCATACATGACAGAGAGAGAGAAGGGAGGGAAAGAGAGAGAGGGAGAGGGAGAGAGAGAGAGAGGGAGAGAGAGAGAGAGAGAGAGAGAGAGAGAGAGAGAGAGAGAGAGAGAGAGAGAGAGAGAGAGAGAGATAATGAGAATGGAAGGCAAAAGAGGAGAGGGCAGGGGAGGAAAGGAAAATCATTCAGGCAAAAAGAAAATTCTGTTCATCCTATAAAAGGGGTCCAACCCATCAATTTCTGCCTTTCCCAATGCTTCTTCCACAGCCCCCTTCTATTTCTCAGCCTCCTTAGCTACTCCTGTTCTTCATCTCTCAAAGAGCACCAGCAAATCCACTCAAAACTGATGCACAGAGACACATGGAAAATGGGAAGACAAAAAAATTGAGGAAAAGCCACAGTCTCTGTGATCTACTGCCTGAGTCCATCAGGTCCACATTAAAGGCCATCCAAAACCCTAGGTCAACTTTAGTCCTCCCCCCAGCCTTTCCAAAGGTCTTTTGGATCTAAGCTTAGTTTAGACTGGACAGCTCCCAGGGTAGGGGGCACAGACCAGTCAGAATCATGAGGACCCTGTAAGGCCTCTGGAGTTGGGGGTAAAAGAAATGAGTGGGCCTGGATGGGTGAAGGCCTAACAGCTCTGAGGAAGATAGATCAAAGGAAGCATAAAATGCTCAGAGCAGCCGCACTTCTGGGATGACGACCTAGGGAGGGGATGAGCTCAGCACTCAGGGCTGGTGGCTGCTCTAAGGGGCCTGGGGTGGCTCCGGGACTGCTCCCAGATTTGCTCAGAATCTACATTCCCAGGAGCAACACTTTCTCTGGAAGGAAAAAGTGAGTTCTGAGGGGCTTGGGGCCAGCCCTCTGACTCAGGGACCAAGAACTTTCCCCGCCCAGAGGAACTTGGTGACTTCACACTCTACAGTCCCCAACCCTGCCCCCCACCATTTCCCTTTCTCCCTCTCTTACACACGCACACACTCTATTCCCCCTCTTACACGTCCACCCTAGGCCCCCAGCTGGCAAAAGAAGAAAGGGTTCTTGCTATACCCCAACCCAGACACCAGGCAGTTTGTCTTTCTGTCCGTTTGTCTCTCTTTGTCTTTCTCTCCCCCCCTCTCTCTCTCTGTCTCTTTCTCTTCTACTCCCTACTTCTCCCCCCTCCATCTCTCTGTCCCACTCTGTTCCTCTGTCTCAGTCTCTCTATCGCTCTTTGTCTCTCTTTGTCTGTCTCTCCCTCCTTTCTTTCTTCTTTTCCCTTCATACTTTCTCTCCATCTCTTATCTAGACTCTTCTCTGCACACCCCCCCCGTCTCTCTGTCTGTGCCTTGCTCTGTCTCCCCCTCCCTCTTTCTCTCTGTCCTTCTCTGGGTCTTATCTTTTTCACACACACACACACACACACACCAACACACACACACACACACAATTCAGACACAAAGACATACAGAGACACTCAACCTAACAATAAGAAACATTCCAGTACATCTCTACATACAAGCAGCAAACACCCAAACACACATATGTAAAACCCAAATGCACAAACATATATGTATGCATGCCCAGGCATGGATACACACTCCCTATACGAATTATCTAAAGAGGCACCATGACGCTGTGGAAAGAATACTAGCCTGACAGTTAAAAGGACCTGAGTTTCCAAATCCTGGGTCTACCACTTACTCTCAGTGTGACCTTGTGAACAAGTATCTTCCCTTCTCTGGGCCCAAATTTTTTCATCTTTGAAATAAGAGGACTTGACTAGATGATGTTGGGGGCTCCCTCTGGCTGGCTCTAGATCTGTGAGCCTATGGGTACAGGAAGTTCTCTCAAAGACAGGGACAGATGTGAATCCTAGTGGGGACAGCCACCAACAGCCGATCAGAAACCCTCAAACACAGAGACTGCTGTGATCTAGCCCCGAGAGAACTGGAAATACAAATGTGCTCATCCCAGAACACAGACCAACCAACAGGTCACAAATAAACACACATACACACACACACACACACACACACACACACACACACACACACACAGCCAAAACCAAGTGATCAGGCAACCACAAAACAGAAACATCCCAACATACACGCACACACAAGATGCCACAAGCCAACCAAAGTGTATCACTAGAGATAATACACAGTACAGTGAAACAGGGCTCTGAGGCTAACCAGTCTGAGACACACACAGCCACCCACACACAAAAGCGCGTGCACAAGCAAACTCTCAGCGTGCATGGGAACCTTCTGTCTCTCTCCCTTGATCACACCCGACAACGCAGCCTTTCCCCCAAAAGACTGATCTCAGAGAGCCCACCTCCTTGACCTCCTCCCCCCTCTGCCCCAGGGTCCATATCCAACATCCCACTCTCTCTGAAGTTTTCCTAACCTCCACTGCTCTGAGGAACCTCCCAGCAACCAGTCAGTCAATGAAATCAACAAATACTCATTGAGTGCCTACTATGTGCCAGGCACTGTGCCCCAGCCCCCAAACCACCACAGGCCAGCTCCATGAACAAGTCCAGGGCCTGAAAGGCATTTCCCAACCAAGGTCATGGAGTATCTAGATATAAACAGGCTAAGAGATGCTCTCAGCCTTTCTGAGGCCGAATTACGGGTCACCTTGGAATTAAAGTCTACAATGATGTCCGGAGCACTTACAGTGTAAAGCATATTGTAGAGGTATGGAGGGCTACGACAGTCTGTGCCAGCAGACGATCTCACACCTGGAAAGAGTGCTGTCTCTGAAGGCAGTGGTTCAAATCCCTCCTCTGATACTTGCTACTTACGTGACCTTGGCAAATCACTTCACCTCTCTTGGCCTCAATTTCCTCAGTGAAGGGGTTAGACTAGATGGACCCTGATGTCCCTTCCATCTCTGGAGCTATGATCCTGTGGCCCTATCTGAGCCCAAATCTGCCTCTCTGTAACTTCCATGCACTACTCCTAGTTCTTCATCCTCCTGCCTCACCAAGCAGAATAGGCTTCATCTCTCTCCATGTGAAATCCCTCAAATACCTAAAGATATCTATCACAGTCACTTACACACACACACACACACACACACACACACACACACACACGTCTTCTCTTCCCCAGGCTAAATATCTCTAGTTCCTTGTGTGACCCCTTACCATCTAGTAACCTCCTCTGGAAGCTGTCCACAGCTTACAATCTAGTTACCAGGATAAGACGCGTGACAAAGTGTCTATAGTACCAAGCAGAATATAGGGAGGTATAAGGGGAAAGATGATTTTCTTCATAGAGGAATTCAGACATTCATGAAAGGGGCGGTTTTTGGTCTGGGACTCAAAGAGGGAGTAGAAATCGTCTGAGCCAGCTGTTCAGACCTTCTATAGGCCTTGTCAACCCAAGAGGCAACAGGGTATAATGGAAAGAACATTGTTTCTGGAGTCAAAGGATCTAGATTCAAATTCCACCAGTGAGGATTCCTACTGTATGACACTGGACAAGTCATACAACCTCTGTGGGTCTTTGTTTCAGATCTATAAGGTAAGGGGAGGAAATGGCCTCTACTGAACCTTCTGGTTCCATATTGATGATTTTGTCATCCCTAATATATTCTAATATCAAAATCTTTAGTAACCAAGAAGAGAAAGGCTAGGATGTTGCCCAAAGCAAGAGAGAGCTCATTTACTCAACCCAGATTAGACAGCCCACAAAACAGAACCCAGGGGCACTATGTTTCTGGCTTATTTGTCAAAGAGCATAGAAGGAGGAGTCCCCAAGTACTCCTTACTGAAGTGAATAAATACAGAAGGCACCGTTCCCTTTCTTCTGCTCCACTTATTAGTACTGGAAATGATGTTGTTCAAGACTACAAGTGATCCAAATGGGTGGGGAATGAGCCAGGACTCATGGGCTGGCTACCTTGAAAAGTTGTTGTTCTGGCTCCATCATCCACACAGCAAGCTACCCAGTGGTGTTTTTTTCTCCTGTAGCTTGTCCTCCTTTTCAAAGACAAGCCTCGTCACATACGTGACACTGGGGTGGGGAAGTGTGGTGTCCAAACCTCTTCCCCATAAATAAGTGATTCTGAAGGGAAGTTCCCTTTTAAATCTTATGATTCTATAAAGTTAGAACCAATTAGTATCTGAAATAATCTGAGAATCTTCCTTCTTTCTGGAAAATTAGTTATTCTTAAGGAGTGGGGGTATAGAATCATATATATCATAGGTCTCACAGACCCAAGATTCCTTCTCAACTCAGGAGTCCCTTCCTTCACTGCCTAGTAAATCATCATCCATAGTCATGGTTCCTACTTTATCAAAAAAATTGACCATTATGAACTCCCTCTTCAATTTAAAACCCCTTGACATCACCCCACACACACATTATCTCCTCTTTCTCAGTCTCTGATAATTAAGTGGCCCTTTTCCTTGCCAACAACCTATCTACATGTGAGAGAATCCCAACCCATCCCATCCTATCCCACCTTCTCCGGC